GATGCTGGGAGACTCACCACGATCCATACCAAACCACTGGTACAGATCGTCCATGTGAAAGATTCTGTGAATCCGGAGACGTGAGAGGGACGAAGAAGGGGTGAAGAACGATTGACGTGTCCGGTGGTCGTGAGGTGAGCCCATCCAGCACCAGTCTTGGCTCACGTGCCCGTTGCCTTCAGGATCCCTGTCCGCCACAGGCCCCATCATCTGGTAAGATTCATGCGTCTGGTCCTGAGGTTGATACTCGATTCTCATAATCTAATATACAGTTCTCCTCACACGAGATGTTCAACCCTTTCTACCTCGACAAGTCCTTTGAAAGTCAGGCTTGGGCACACAAGGAGAGGAGCCACAGCTTTCTTGAATAACGTATCTCGAAGCGCGTCAAGGAGCAGTTCAACATCATATGTATTCTGTTACAATCCACCAAGCATCGCACGGATGTCTTGCTCTCTGACAGCAGCGGCCAGTGGGTCTGCGATGGCCACTTTTCGTCGCTTGCGTGCCGGTGCGTTGGACTGCTCGCCGGTTGGCAGAGGCATGGGATCTTCTATGACATTGTTGCTGGCAGTCGTCCACTCCTCGGCTGTCCTGTCATTTCCGCCGTGCCCTTCCGCATGGCCCCACATCTCCACAGCGCCCCTGTCTGTTGTCGCGGTGGTGCCCAGTTCCAGTACGGATGTATTGACTGACCCTTGGAATGCAGCCATCCGACGCTGTCGTGGGCCTCGAGGACCACTGACAATGATTAGGTCTGATAGGCTGGATGATGATTGTCGCGCTAGAACATCTGAGGTGAGTACAAGCTCATCGTGAAGGTTACCCACTGGAGAGTGGAGCCCTGATTCTACCACACCACGGCCAGTTTCTGGCGGCGGTGCCGCCTGTTCAGAAGAAACAGCCGTCGTCTCCAAGCCCAGGAGATCTACCGAGGCTAGTGCTGTCGGTGCACGCAATGCATCCTCTGCGCTCCTCCGGATCGCAGCTTCTTTGGCTAATTTTTTTTGCAGCTTCGTATCCCGTAATGACGCTGCAGCATGTCGATGCAGGGAGGCGCGGTCAGTGACGGAGTTTGGGGAGGGTTTCAGGTGAGTGGGAAGTGCGACACGAATCCATCGTTGGTTGTGCAGGGCTTGCGTGTTCACAATGTACAGCTCACTGTTTGCATGTGAGACAACCGGTCGGGAGCGGGACGTGTCCTCACGCTCTTGCCGGACCGTGCGTTTTCCGTCGCTCGAACATTTGGCCCGCCAGCAATCGTGTTGAACATTGATAACGCAGATGAGATCCTAGACATATGCAATTGTAGTGATTAGCATTCTGTTTCATCTGCTCGTGCATAGTGGTCGGTCCTACGCCTGATTCTGCACATGAGTACTTACACGAGGTAAAAGCACCCGCAAGCGTCCTGAGCGGTTCACTACAGGCATACGCAGCTTGGGATGGACATGAGGCTCGAGTATAGAGTCGCGCACGATGATCAATGAGTTTTCGGACTTCGGATCCCCTGCCCGCAGAAGTTCCACGACGGAGCCAAACCGTAGCTCCGTCGCTGAGGAGAACGGATGGTCTGTTTCGATGTCAGCGGGTGTTGAATCCTGCAAACGATTAGGCCTAAGATGGAGTGACAGACAGGGAATGAAGAGCGATAACCTACCGGTGAGCACACCACAGATATTCGGAAAACAACTTCGTCGCCCAAAGATGCCGTATCTCCGTTGGTGGCGACCACACTACTTGCTGGATACCATGGTCCTTCCACTCCAGTTGGGGGGCATATATCGGCATCGAGACGTACTGAGAGCGTGTCACACCATGCCAGAAGAGAAGCCTGAGTGCGAGATGATGGTTGCCGGGGAGCAGTAGGACTATCTGAGACAGCCTGAGAGCCGCGAGTGCCAGGGGAAGGAAGGCGAGTGAGCGACATCTTCCCCGGAGTGTGAGGGTTGCGAATAGGTACACCAAGCAACTTAGCATCGATGGCATCGGAGTGGATATGAGCACGAACTTGCTGAGCAGCGCATACCCATCGACCTGAAAGCTTGTCCAGCCAATATCCGCCGGTGACCATATGGCGGCAGCGATCCTGATTTGCAAAGGATGCCGCTATGTCCCGGCTGGGGGCCTGGCGATTGCTATGGACGGAAGAGAGCCGGAATATGTGATTAAACGACTCGTAACGCTCGGTGGAAAAGAGAAGGGCAGGCCCGTGCCGGGCGATGTGATCCGGTATGTGGAGGAGAATGTGGAGCTTATTCTTCTCTGTAAGAAGCCCTGGACTGAGCGTCACGGCGTAATCAAGTACACTGTCTATGCACTTGCGAAGCTGTTTCTATTGACTTGCCAGATTAGTTGTCATGAATGGTCACATTACACAGGTTTGCGCACCAGATAAGTTGACATTGAGACTATCTCCGTCTCCCAAAGGAGGACTGTCAGATCGCCTACGGCGAGCCACGCATTTTGAAGATTGTCCTCAACGAGCCCACAGACAGCGAAGGACATCACCTGACTGATGGTTTTGAAGTGCTTGCCTATGAGAGCGCCTCGATAACGACACATGTAATCGGCCAGTATATTTGGAATGTTGAGCCCAGATTTCGCCACCGAGTTCAGTCGAGCTTGAAAGACCGTGAATTTTGCCTGTTTCTCGAGGACCCAGACCGTTTGCGCCCAGAAGTATTTCACGACGCCGAGCAGATGTGTATGGAGGGGTTCGACAGGTGTGTCTCGGTGGACGTCCAGACCTGCCGGCGAACCCATGAGTAATGGCATATACATTTGCAGACATCTGCGCCACAGCTCTCGAAGCATTCTCCAACGTCTTTGCTCGTTTTGAGGCCCTTGGAACAGGCAACTCATTTCATAAATGAACACGGACCTTTCATATCGAGCAGGGGATTCACCATGGTCACGTCTTTGCTCCGCAACAACTCCGCTGACAGCTCGCGGTTCACTTCCTCCGGAGACAACGCCTTGCGGTCTGCACTAGATTTGCGTAGAATCTTCCCCAGGGCGATCAGGCGATTGATCGTGGGCAAGGCAAGTGAGTCTTTGGTACCCGTTGATGTGATCGCCTCCTTGAGAGGCTTCTGCGCTGCTGCATGTGTAGCTTGTATCAGTTGATTGAATACGGCACTCCGTGTCTCAGGCGCAGTCCGATCTCGGCCAGGCTAGAGAAGATCATTATAGCTGCAGATGGATACGACATACCCCGAAGAAGTGACGTACCCTCAATAACGAGGCATAGCCGTCATCGGAAACCTTGAATTTCTGATCCCCACCGACATGACAGCAGCGACAGAAATGATTGCCTTTGAGCCCGATATGGCTGCATAGCTCCGCTTGCATGGGATTGTCCCCAGGAAGGAACAGGAGCCAGAGCCGTACCAGGATGTAGTGTCGCCTGCGCACATCCCATACCTTAATGGGACTTGTACCCCAAGTATTCCTGTACCGAACAATGGATTGAATTGGCACACAGTATACTGTATAAGGGGTCGTACATACCGGATATCGTTGCACACTGCTTCCATAATTTCCATAGGGGAAGCGTTGGGCGATGTTGAGACGAACTGTATATTGCGAGATTTTTCAATCTCGGCGCGAGGCAAACCGCAATTTGACATGTAACAAGAATAATGGACGTTCCATTGCTTCGAGCTGTTCCCAGATACGTCGTCGATAAAGACTGCAAGGGGAGGGCACTCCCACTCTAAACCAGCGGCTGTAATGCGATCCGCGTTGGGCATATTCGAAGCATGGTGTGCTGAGCAAGCTGGAAGCACCATTTTAGCATGGTTCGTGGCATAGCGCAGCCAATATAGGAAAATGAATACATACGTGCAAATAAGTTCCTGCCAGGATTCGCGGCTTCGATATCTGGCCAGCTACTCTTGAATGCCAAGCAGGGGAGCATCTCCTTCGTTTCCTGAACAACGAGACCTTCCTAGTATGTATAATATGAACACTATCAGGTCACCGCCTCTCCAATAACAATGGAACTCATCGTACCTCGGTCACCTCAACTTTGAGACACACAGCCCACATACCCTTGCCTTCGAACTCAAAGAAACGAAGCGGAATGCACCACGCGTCACCTTGGCAGTAAGTCAACTCGTTGACATAGAAGTCCTGGTCGTCAATCCGGACCATCGGAGTAACAAGCTCCGAAGGGCTGTCAACAAACCACTTCGAAGCATGGAACGCTTCCGAAATTTTCCCTTGGCTGAAAACAGGATAGGCTTTGATATGTTGACGGACATCTGGGTGAGCGTATTGCTAAAAACAGTTATTACACGCTGCGCTATTGCTTGAACCGAACACACCATTGCGATATGATGGTGCAGCGAATTCTGATAGAATACATGGCCGGAAGACGTCTGCACCCGCTTAGTCGGGTTCCCGCATGCCTCTAGTGCCTCTGCCTGAAACTTCTCGACCTTGTACAGCGATGGAACGTCTCGTGCTCCGAGAGCGCGACCCCAGGACAGTATAGCCTCTTTCTGTGACCGAGAGAACCGCAGCTCGGGAGAGCTGAACAATATGTCGGTTTTCATCATCTGTTGAACACATTCTTCGACTAATGGTCATACCTAAGGGAGAAAAGTGTACATACCGCTCTGTTAGGATATGGGAAGAAGGTCTCCTCAGGCCTGACCGGTGTTCCGAAGAATTGTTGCGAAAGATCGTTCGGATCTGTCGCTATCCATTGGCGTCGAGGAATAGACGAACGACGATGGGAGTGAGATGGCATCCAGGTCGGAGGTGAGCCGTAGATCAGTGTGGTGTGGACGAGGATATACGCACCCATGTTATCCCACTCGCCCCCTGTGCCCAAATTGATGTCGGAAAGCTCTTGACCCCCTTCGTCTTCGTCTTCTGGATGAAGAACTGCTCGAAGAAGGCCTGCGCCTGCGAGAACGTCCTCCATCGACAACTCAGAGTCCCCGCCGCCGGGTAGAGCCTCCTCCCCGGCTGTGAAAGAAATCCGCCCTGCTAGTGCATTCTCCATCGCCCGCCCAACCTGTCTGGACCACTCGTCATCTGCCCCATGCGAGAAGGGATGAGTTGTGTCTTGCTGAAGAGAAACGGGAAGCCAATCGTGATCCGGAAAATACGAATCGGGGGGGAAATCCTCAGGTGAACGAGACGGAAGAGAACTCGGAAGAATGGGATCGTGAGAGGCACCTAGCACCTCACGGGCAATACGTAGCTTCCGGTCGAGGTTTTGCTGGTGTGGCTTTCCCTTCTCGTGATCTCGTAGGTTTGCAAGCTTCGTCCATTGACCTTGTCCAGGAGCATTGCAGACTCTGCATCGCCCGAAAGCCCCTGTAAGCTCGAAATCTGCCAGGCATGTGAGTTCCCATACAAGCCCTTGGGCCTAATGTTGAACGTACAACTCACCTTCAGTACGTTCGAAACCAGACATATCATGGAAAGTATGACAGGACAGTAGAGAGGAGACAAGGTTGTGGCCACAAGCGCCAAAAGGCGCCCCTTGTCGAGAAATCCAGACAACGCCAGGGCACGTCACAGCAATCCCGCAAAGCCATTGTAGGTGATATACGAGAAAAACGACACTATTTTTCCGATTTAAGACCTACACAAAGGCTGATAGAGATCCGTGAGCGAGAGGGACTCTAGACCTCTACGATAAGTAAGACATGCGAGCCTCCTTCCGAGGAGGACCTCCCCCAGACCCTGTCCCGATGTGATCCTCACGGCCGCGCTTCCTACTGATATGTAATCCGTCCGCCTCTTCGTCTAGTGGGCTGTAAATTCTGACACAGGTGAATCATCATCTATCATGGTGTACAAAAGGCGTCACTTACGTTACGACAGTAGAGTCGTCCATCAACCATGGCATGTCCACCAATGTTTGAGACTCCTGCGTAGGATCCAAAAACAGGTCGCGATTATCTTGTATAAAATCATTCATCTCCCGAAGGCGTCGTTCTTGAGCAGCGTTGACTGCGTGCACGCGCCGCAATTCTGCTTGAGTCGATGCAAGCGCGTGCATACACGGACACAATGCGGTATCGTTGCTGGCAGTTCTCTCTGTCTCATCTAAACAGTTATCATTAGTGTTGAACAAGATACGATACATGAGGGTTGTTCTGACCTTGCACAGTTTCAGTTTGCACGCCTCTCGACACATATGTCCTGCTGTGCACGGCATCTGTCCCTGGTGGTCCTAATCAGCCGGGAATTGGACGATAACAAAAAATGACACAGCACGCACCTGTATCCGGTTGCTCAATGTTGAGTAAGTACTGCGTCTCGGTAGTCTGTGAATTCAATGCTCCACCAGAAGCGAACAACCTATACCGTCAATTTCCGTCACAGGAACGCGACCAGTATCAGCAGCCGATACACATGTGCACTGCTAACACAAGGGGTACTCACCGTGATGTCCTCCCTTCCTGGATGCCCCGTCGAACTTCGGAACGACGCGGTCGGCGGGAGGACAATGTCTCCACCTGCGACCAGGCATCGCCGACGAATTGAGAGGGTTCGTACTCGTCGTCCGAGCTGCCCATTGTAAGCCTTATGTTCACCTGAAAAGATAGGTTAATAGTTATGTGCTATCCAACTAAGTTTTTGAATCTCACTACAATTTCTCTTCTTTCGTCAAGCCGCTATTGATATACGGGTGTACGGGAGGCGGCACGGATACTTAACAAGTTTCAGCCGCACCATGTGCCTGCGGGTTGGGACCATGTGAGCCCATATGTATTCAATGTCGGTAGCCGATATTGTATGGACATGAATGAGGGACAGTAAAGGGGTCGATCGCTTCGATATGAAAACCATAAGGTCATGGTATGGGGAAAGGGTCGTACGTGGTATGGCGCCAATATGGGCGCTGCCTATCGGCTACATGCGGCGCTGACATGAACCTTATACCGGTGACTATATGCGGACCATACTGTCCCCCTTCCATATCAGTGGCATATCTGAAGTCGCCCGGTGGTGTAGGATTCAAGTATTCACCGGTGACCCACTCCATACCCTCAAGTTCTGAACCTCATCGTGGTTGCACACGTCCTGCAAACGTCACAAATCAGCACGCAGACCACGCAGGAGGTTTTCTATACTTCCTAGATACTCGGACCAGGCCTACTCACAGAGTATCTTATACAAGTAGGGAGCTTGAAGTCTATATTTGCAGAACAGTAGTAATAGAGTGGGATGGTGATGGTCAAGCATGAAGTTCATGACAGTATCACAAGCTAAGCGCGTTTGCTACGACACTTACTGGTATTTAGGGTTAGGGTTAAGGCCCTATAGCGACAAAAGAAAATGGCCTGCCCAGCCCGAAGGCCGAAACTAGTCTCGTGACCAGACGTTCGGAGCTCCAAGCGGGAACGAAAAATCGGAGGTTCCCGAGCACCTTAACGTCTGGTGGCTTTACCCCCGTGACTCCCCGCTCGGTGACCTATGTGACCTCCCTGCCCTCTCTCCGGGA